CCGCTCACATAGCCCAGTTCTGAATAGGCCACAGCCCAGTAGTAGGCTGTGGCCCAGGTTTGGGGACCCTTGTCTTAGAGAAAGAACTTTACTACCACCTAACCATGCTTTATGCAACCCTCCAAGCAACAAAATATTAGTTCCAGTCCAAAAAACTTCATTATCAATGCATCACCACAAACATGTCTTAAATAAACCACATTATGCTATGATTTGCAACACATAAATCCAGATGCATGATTCTAAGGGGCTTATGTTTGACACAAAACAATATACTCAGAGACACCAGTTCATGTGTTCAAAAGACAAACTATATATAGTGAACAAAATGTACCACATGATTCCCACAATTAGTTTACTCGAGGGCTGGGAGAATAGGGAAGTTTTCAAAGATCTTTTTAATGTTATCAGGATGGGAACTTGACCTTATACTATTCCATGCACACAGTCATATCCATATTTTAACATTTTACCAGTTACATCATCAAAACTTCAGCCGTGCTATTTTCAGCATTTTAATGTTTTTCTTAGGTCAGTGATGGCTAACCTTTTCAGCTTGGTGAGTCGAAAATCGGGAAAAAGTGTAGCCTTCCTCGGGTCGTGTGTCACTTCAAGAAATATCAATAATTTGGTTTATGACGGACTGGGCTGGGGTGATCACACAGGGCTGTGAAACTCGTCTCCCTGGTCTCAGGGCTGCAGGTGCAGGATGTGGGGATCGGAAGGCCACTTTACAGGGCTGTGAACCTCATGGATCTCCTTTCCTCCTGTAGCGTTCCTGAGGTAATGAAACTGACAAACCTCAGTCTATGGCGGTTAAAACTGGTTCTCTGCTGCAAAGATCTTGCGACAGCGGTGACACCAAGCCTCCACGCAACAAGCAGGGAGCAGGGATTGGAGCAGAGCACAGGCAGCCTCTAAATGTGCAGGTTTTCCCCACACCAACAGGCGTGTCAGTCAAAGTGCCTCGGCGTGTCACGAGTGACACGCGTGTCATAGTTTAGCCATCACTGTCTTAGGTGCTAATATTATAGTATATATTTTAATTCCACTCTTCAACATATTTTTATGGAGTGGGGGAAAATAAAATTGCATGAGAAAGAGACAAGAAAGGCCAGCAGACAAATACAGAAGAGAAAAGACAAAGAGGGCAGGAAAAAAACGTTCTCTGGGTTTAGAGAATGAATGATTGCATAGTAATAAAGAGGTTAAGAAGACATTTACCATATAAGAGCAGTCAAGGATAAGCATACAGAGTCTAAAGATAAAGGAGATTTCCATTTATCAGCTCCATAAAATCTGTCTTGGATCCTTATCACAGAGAACCAGAAACAGTTCTAATAACTATAGTCTCTTTAAATTCATATGCCTCTATTTTGCAAATGTCCTCTTCCTAAATTTTGCAAGCTGTTATTGTAGAGAAAAGTTTCCTTTTCCTTTTGGGTATATAAAAACCTTCCATACTTAAAGCAGAAGATCATTCAGTTCCAGTTATTAGGAAACATGTGAGAACGTGTTATATTCCTAATTGGCTTATTGGTTTCTCCTTCATGTCTTGCTTGTAGCATAAAAAAGAAAGTGAATTCAATGGACACTTGGCTGGATAATCAAGGCTCTTTGTGTTCTCATGGTCAGTTTCCTGAGGCTGGAGAGGCATTTGCTGATTTTATGAGCTTATTATATACCCGTTTTCCCCAAAATAAGCACTGGCTTATTTTTGTGGGTGTCTTATTTTTCCCCATATATGAGAGGCCCACTTCTGCTTGCTTGCAGTGTGATAGGAGGTCATACAATGTGCCAGTGCTGCCACGAAGTGGGGAGAGCAAAGCTGCTCCACATGTCCCACACAAGGTTACCTCAGGGTCCCAGCAGCCAGGCCATCCACATCCCAACACCTACCTCGCCTCATGGCTGTGGCACCAGCACATTGCTTGGCCTCTTGCTCTGTTGAAGCTGCAAGCAAGTAGAAGAAGTGGGCTGGCAGCTATGTTGGCTCCTACTGCACATGGCTGTTGGTGCTGCAGGTGTCAGGACGTGGATGGCCTGTCTGAAAGGGCCCTGAGGTAAGCCAATGCAGGGTGCATGGGGCAGTTCTACCCACCCACCCCACTTCACTTCGTGGCTGTGGCACTGCAAGCAACCATATTCAATGCGTCGCCAGTCAGCTGCACAGGCTCTTAAATAGGGTTTATTCTGGAGGAAGGGCTTATATTAGGCACACACATAAAACATGCTAGGGCTTATTTTGGGAATAGGTTTTTTTTGAGGAAACAGGTTAACTTCAACAATAAAAAATATTTAATTAATAAATATGGAATGTTTTTATAATAAGCTTAATGGAGACAAACCTGTATCTTTTGCCAGTTATCCACCTCAATTTTAATCCACATTTTTACTAAATTATATTTTACACATTAAAATTGGTAAAACTGGTAACAAACACAAATCTTAGTTGAGATGGATCAAATGTTACCACAGAATTCTCTAGAAAAAAAATGGTATGTATCTATATGTAAATATTTACAACAGAAGCATTATACAAAACAGTTTATTTTATTGACTGACAAATTCTTGAGGGATAAGAGCCAAATTCTAAACCAGCTGATCTGAAAGATGTCACTGTTTTGGATATAATCATCATAAAGGAGAGCTAAAAATGACTATAATATCAGTTTAATGAAACTGTGCTTAAATACAAGTTCTTTGATATTTATTAAACATGGTAACTTAACATATGTCATTCTTGCTCATTTTCAGCATAGTTACCAGAGGTAGTATTCAGCAGGTTCTGACCAGTTCCGGAGAACCGGTAGCGGAAATTTTGAGTAGTTTGGAGAACTGGCAAATACCACCTCTGACTGGAGATTTTATAGTATCCTTCCCCTGCCATACCCACCAAGCCATGCCCACAGAACTGGTAGTAAAAAAAAATAATAATCCCACCACTGGTAGTTACCATTGCTCAGAGACTCATGTAATATCTTATATATTTTTCAGATAGCTTCTCTTTTGGGCCGAAGTTTGTGATAGATTAGCATGAAACTCAAATACTCCTATAACTACAGGGGATGAGTTTTATGCTTAGGATAAGACAGGCTAAAAATAGGTTTCATAAACAGCAGAAGCCAACCTTCACATGAAATATGAGAAATGAGTGAAATAAAGGTTAATCAAAATAGTTTCCGTGAAATCAACATATATGATGGGTACATCTGGAAGACTTTGCAGTGACTTATCGAGAGTTCTAAACAATAAAATCATATAACTGAAGTGCTGGAAAGGAATATATTTTTCATCAATAGAAACAGCTACAATATATTTGATAAACACAATTTTGCTTTAAATTCTCCAAGAGACTGTTATTTCTAAAGCCATTGGCTTACAATTTAAAACTACTCATAATTTTTTTTGTAATTTGAAAATGTATATTCACCAGTATGGCAGATCTTTAAACTAGATTCTTATATAAGAGGGATATATAAATACGAGGTATCATCTGGACTTGGTCAGAGTGAGATGTCAATTCTATGAACTTTAGGTATAATTCAAGAATGTTTACTAATATATACATAATTATCTGTTTTTTAGAAGATGGTAGATCTGGGAAGATTAACTTAACATTATGATGACATAAATATTTATTGGGTGGAGATAGTGACATAACTGATTATTAGGTAATTTTGACATGACTAGGTTTTTTCCCCTGCAGATGAAAACAAGCAGTGTATTCCTATGCTGTTATTTCCACCAAAAATTCTAACTGAACTCATTTATACGCAGTTTCACTTCCTTTTGTGAACTGTACAGCCCACTCTTATCTGTGAAAAACACGCTTTCCTCTGTAGTGTGTCTGTTTTTATGATATTTCCTGTTTTTCTTTGTATTACATTTTTCAATTCAAAGAGAAAGTAATTCATTCAATTATTGTTCTTGTTCTTTTAGTCTGCATTCTTAATGATGCTATGCGCCCCTTACATTTTATTTTACTTTTGGAGGCATATTGATTACCTTCCAAATGATAGGCTGTAATCCTTCTGTCAAAATACAGTAAATCTGATGACCTTACTATCATTAGACAAATGTTAACTAAGGACAACATATTTTGTGAGTAATGCACTTGGCATCAGTACTCCTACTTTTCAGCCTCACTTTTTAAATAGTCGCATGATCCACTTCCTGCTTCAATATTATTAAGTTTTATGAGTAAGGACTGTATCACTCCCAGTCACTTCCTAGAATTTGTGTGGCCAATCGCTTTGATTATCAACTTGAAAAATCAAAATACTGATTTAATTAATCATCAGAGATATAAAAATTGCTCATTAAATAGACTAATATTCATCTAGGCCAGATCCTGTTTGCTATTGTACGGCCAACTTTATCTCTGGAAGTCTAAAGCGTGGGGGTAGACATTTCCTCTGGTTGTTCTTAGCAGATGGTAATCAGAGAAAGCATGTGGCCTCCATCGCTAGTTCCTTTTAGCCATCAAAACTATATCAAAACATAATGGACAAAAAGTAGTAAAAGCATGGGTTATAATGGATAATCTCATTTGATCTCAATATCTCTGAATAACCAGAATTGCATGTTACATTAAGCTAGAGTTTGTCTATCCCTGGTTATTCAATAAATTCCATTTTGGGAAAGATCACATTAGGATAGCTTTGGCAACACTAGTTAGTTGTTGAGCTTCCCCAATAATTACAGAGTGAACTGTAAATGCAGTAAAAATTAATAGAAGACAAGTTTTAATTGTTCAGACAACTCATATACAGGGAAATAGCAATTAGTTTGTGACTTATGCCTTTATAAATATCTTCGAAGTTACCAGAAACCTTGATATAATCTGTAATAGGCAAATGCTGCCACCTTACGAAGTTAGGTGTAGAGGTTAGAATGTAGTATTGCAGGCTAACTCACTGCTCACTGCCAGGAGTTCGATTCTGACTGGCTCAAGGTGATTCAATCTTCCATCCTTCTGGGATTGGTAAAATGAGGACCAAGATTGTTGGGAGCAATATGCTGACTCTGTAAACCACTTAGAGAGGGCTTTAAAGCACCATGAAGCAGTATATAAATCTAATACTATAACTATTATATGACCATTTTGCTATATTGCAATACACATGAAATTGCTATATACATAGAAACCCCTTCATGTGGGCATTCCCTTCTCATGTGTTCTATTAAGGAACTATGCTGGAGGTATACCACCAGAAAGTATACCAGAAGGGTCAAACTATATAGGTCAACTGAGAAGCCAGACTAGGAGTATCCACAAACCCATTAATCATGAGAAGACAACAGAAAAAGAATCCCATAGTCGATTGGTTATCATCCGGGTTTACAAGGACCATGACTGTTGCTGTCCCTGGGGAATTGTTGAAAAGTGGGTTAGAGGGTTAGAAAGATCTAGAGACCTACCCTGCAAAAATCTTACCAATAAAATTTAATGGGAAGGATCCCAAACATGTCAGATAGGTTGCCCAAAAATAGGACAACAGGAATCCCAATTGCTGAGTCAGCTAGTGGCGTAAGCAAACCTCTGGTTATATAATACACGGAAACAGAGAGAGCAATTGCATACAAAATGTGATTCACTGTAACTATGCAGTATCTGGGAAATAAATATTTATTTTTTTCCAGAAAAATTTTCCAAGCAGAAACAGTCTGTATAAGTGGTGTTTATGGATAAGCTTGCTAAACCATACTAGAGAACATAAAACAATGAATGAGGTCCATCTTTAGCTTTTCAGTCTAATGATGGCATATTCTGTCAATTGAGTTTCTTCAGGGGGCTTGGTTCTCTGAAAAAGTTCTCCATGGCTTAATGTTGCATAAATAACTGAGTCCTCTTTATATCCTGATAAACCTTCATTGAACTTCATGGAACTTAGACTGGTTCTAGATGCCTTCTGGTAATTGTCTTGATTCCCACTGGAAACTTGAAACAAGCCAGGCATGGAATCTTCAATAAAAATGGCTCCCTCATCTGACTCATGAGTTGTGCTATCAGTGCAGCGTTGGGTCTTCTTACAGCAATTATCAGCAAACATCACAATAACAAGAAATAGAGAATTCAATAGATAAGTATAGTTAGTTGTCAGCAAACAAAAGAGCAATTACCAAACAATTCAATTATCCAGTATGATGTTAATTTTAAAGACTTTATAAAAATAGGAACAAAATTTCTATA